GTTGCACTCGGTGGTTGCCCCTAGAAAATAGATGAGCACAACATGAGCATTGGCGAGGGGTGCGCTCGGCGGGAGCGTTGGCGAGGGATGCATGGCAACCTAGGTTGAAAGGAGATGTTCAAGTATGGATTTCGGGACTTGAAGGCGTGTTTAATGTCGTGCCTCCGAGACTGTAAGTTACAGGTAGTACCTTTTTAAGTAGTGTCCATTGATGGGAGGCATTGCCTCCCGTCGATCAGGATGGGCCAATATGTAACCTCCATTTGGAGATACCTTCTTGATTATGAAAGGTCCTTCCCACTTTAGTTCGAACTTTCCCTCGCGTCGCCCATGCATAACGATAAGCCATTTTACTGCTAGGATCAAGTCACCATGAGTGATGAATGGACTTTGACAGATTTGTCAAAATCCCTTTTTATCCTTCCCCGATGGAGTTCAAGGTTCTGCTAGCCTTCAAGTCTCTTCTCATCAAGTGTGTCTAATTCTTGTTAGCGCAACTTAACATGTTCATCCTCTGTCATATCATGATGTACTGCGATGCGAAGCAATGAAAGTTGGATCTCGAGGAGTACCGCTTCACTCCCATAAACTAAAGAATAGGGAGTAGAATCGGTGGCACTCCGGGTGGTTGTACGATAAGCCCATAAAACCTCAAGAAGTTTCTCATGTCAATTTTTCCTCGTCTTTGACACCGATTTTCCCAGAACACCACAAAGGGTCTTGTTGAAGGCTTAGGCCAAACCGTTTGCCCGAGGGTGGTACATAGTATAGTACTTCCACTCGAAGCCAAACTGGTTAATCAAGCGGTCGATGTGTTGGCTTCTGCATTGGGGACCGTTATCTGATGTGATCCGGTCTGGCACACCGAATTGGTAAATGATGTGATGTCGCACAAAGTTGGTTATTGATTTCCTGGGGACATGTTTAAGAGGGATCGCTTCAGCCCATTTGGAGAAATTATCCGTAGCAACTAAGATAAAGATATAGCCCAATGTTGAGGGAGGGTCAATGGGTCTAACAATGTTCATACCCCATTGTGAGAAGGTCCATGACATCACCATAAGATGTAGAGGCTTTGGTGGCTAGTGCATGAGGTTCGAATGTATCTGACATTCTTGGCACCTTTTGGCATAGGTCAACAAATATGCAACCATCGATGGCCAGTAATACCCCAACCTGCGTATCCGTTCGTAGAGCTTAGGACTGGATTGATGAAGGCCACAGATCATGGCATACACTTCTTCCAGTACTTGGCTCACCCCTTTTGTGTGAATGCAATAGAGGAGAATGCGATCAAAGGATCGTTGAAAGAGAACATCTTCGTCAAGAAGATTGTATTTGGTGGGCATTCTTCGTATATTGTTGCGCTCGATGCGATCTTTCGGTAGCTGACCATGTTTAATAAAGTTGATTATGGGTTCCCTCCAATCCTCAACCTGCTCAATCTCAGATTAAAGAACTCCTCTTCTTGTTTCTCGAACTTATTGCCTTGAACATGCTTTTCCTCTCTTTCAGCTTCGCAGGCATCCTTAGCAGTGAGGATTGCCCCGAATGGGTAACGAGGGAATTTTGGGAAACGAATCCTTTCATCATCGCCATCCAACTCTTTAACCAGCTCGATGTGTCTCCACTCTGTTACCAATATAAGCGTGGGTTCCTTCAAAGAGACTTGGATTGTGGCACCGAGCTTGGGAATTCAGCCTGCTGGTGATGTGCCCTAAGGAAAGATCCTCGATACTTTCCATCAAGGTCTTAGCAGTGTCATGATAGGGCTTGAGGTTGTCTTTTCTCACATTGTAAATTCCTTTGAGCTGTCGTATAACCAACTCGAAATCGTCGAAAATAGCCAATCGTTCCAATTCCAGGTTTAAGGCATTTCGAGTCCTATTATGAGTGCCTGATGTTCAGCCTCATTGTGTGAGCCAGTCTTTGCGAAAGAGAAAGACAAGCGGATGATGCCATCTTGAGGGGTGGAAAACACCACACCAACACCACCTTGTTCAGACTGAAAGGCCCCATCAAAATACATCTTCCATTCATATGTTGGCTCAGCGCAAACCACTTCCTCATTGGGGAGGTTGCTCAACAGGGGAGATTCTACTAGTAAAAGGGGTGCTGCAGGAAATCAGCCAGTGCTTGGCCCTTAACCTCCTTTTGCAGCATATACATGATGTTGAACTCCATTAGTAATAGTGACCATTTAGCCAAGCGCCCGGACAGACAAAGGCGCATCATGAGGAACTTGATGGGGTCAGCACAGATAATGGCGAAGCTTCTGGACTATGAAGATCAATGTCATTGACATCTTCTCAATTGGTGGGTAATTCTTTTCAGCTCCTTGCATGCTGCGTTTGACGTAGTACATAGCAGTTTCTTTTCCTTCCTCATTGTTCTGTGCTAGGAGCGCACCAAGCGACTCGTCGAGGGTGGTCACGTAAAGAATGAGTGGCTTTCCTAAAACTGGCATGGAGAGTACCGAGGGATTTAGCAAATACTATTTGATATCATCTAAGGCTGCCTGACATACCTCATCCCATATGAAAGGAGAATCCTTCTTCAACATGTGTGTGAAAGGCTTACAACGACCTGAGAGATTGGAAATGAATCTTCGAATATAAGCAAGCTAGCCTAGGAGAGACCGGAGCTCTCAGAGCGTTGTTGGTGGTGGCATTCCTTGAATTGCCTTGATCTTGACTGGCTCAATCTCCAATCCCTGATACCTGACAATCAACCCTAAGAATTTCCTTGAACGTACACTAAAGGCGCATTTCAAGGGGTTCATCTTGAGCTGATGAAGGTGGAGCCGCTTGAACACTTGCTCAAGATCATGCATGTGAACATCCTTCCTTTTGGTTTCACCACCAAATCATCCACGTAACACTCCACCTCATTGTCCAGCGTATCTTTAAAAATGGTGATCATTGCTCGCTGATACATAGCACCTACGTTCTTCAATTCAAACGGCATCATCGTGAAACTAAAGACCCCTTGGGGAGTCAGGAAGGCAGTGGCCCCCTCATCCTCTGGCTCCATCCTTATCTGATTGTACCCTGAATATCCATCCATAAAGGAAAAGATTTGACAATGGGCTGTGGAATCGATAAGCATTTATGTGAACGACAATGGAAAGTCATCCTTTAGACAGGTAGCATTTAAATCAGGGAAATTAATGCAAACCTAATTTGCCTGTTCTTCTTTTTAACTGGCACAATGTTGGCGAGCCATTTCGGGTATTTGACCTCCCGAATAAAACCTGCTTCCTTGAGTTTAGTTACTTTAGCATCTACCTACATTTCAAGATCAGGTAAGAACCTTCTCGATTTCTACTTTATGGGTTTGAAGGACGGATCAATGCCAAGCCGATGTACCGCGACTTGAGGGTCGAGACCAGGCATCTCATGATAGTGTCAGGCGAAGACATCTCGGTTTGCTCGTAGAAAGGCGATATAGATCTCCTTCTCATCTGACGACATGTTAGCTAAGATAAAAGTTGGCCTTTTGTTAGTTTCATCACCCAAGTTTATTTCCTCGAGATCATCAACCGTGGCCTATCCACCCTCTTCCCATTCCTCGGGGGCTTCTTGAACTTCTATCTTGTCATTAGTCTGTGACTTAAGGGGTCTTTCATTGACCTTGAATATCCCGACTTCTGAGTTCATATGTACCCATGTTTTTGATATTTCCAACTCAAATTGGGCTTTGGCGGTATAGAGCATGGTAGCCATTTCTTTTGCTTGCTTGCTTGAAGAGGGGTCGGTTTCAAGGAGAGGGAGTGAATATGGTTGGGAGAGCGAATTTTGAGGCACTTGGGTCAATTGGGAAGAGAACGGCTCAGAGAGTGCGAGGGGAGAGTTCTATGATTCAGCGATCAATAGATACAACCACCACACCATTCTCATTTTTTGCGATCACCATTTCTATGTAATCCTAGATCCGCCACATGCTTTAGTGAGATGGTAGGTTGTGAGGTAGGCTTAGGTGGTGGAGGTTTGCTTTGGGGTACTGGCAGACTTTGTTGTGTAACTGGTGTGGATTAGAGAGTTTGTGAGGATTGGGTAGGTAAAGATTGTGCGACCGGATTTGTTGATGACTGGCCAGGTCATGCAGCCAAGTCCGATGCGGACTGGTTAGATTGGGTGATAGGAGTAGGTGTTGTTAAAATAGAGGTTGATGGAGGTTGGGGGTTTTGAGATGGTTGAGTGTATGGAACCAATGGTGGTCCGGAGTATCTAAGGAGTGGTGAATTGGTTGGTATGTTAGGGTATGGGATGAGTGGCGGACCAGGGTACTTCAAGAGTCTTGGTTGTTGATGTTTCTGCCTGGGTGGCGACAATTTCCTGCCTGACCTTAGGCTAATTGGATCAGTGTTGGTCACTGCTTCAGAGATATGCACCATGTGGCATGCTTTGTGAGAATGGAAGCTCTGCCCTCTTGACTCTTTCAGCCGGTGCTAGAAGTAGGGCTCAGGAGGCCATTGGGCATTTGAGAGTTGAACTTGCAGAAGACATGTTAGAGAAAGAATAAGAAGAAGGGTTAGAAGAGTCGGGGATAGAAAATGGGGAAGAGCTTTTAAGGTCGTCATTCAGATTGGACCGATCTGGGTAGCTTTTAGCATCATCACTGGAATTGGACGTGTGCAGGGAATCTTTTAAAACAGAAAGTCTTAGTCAGCTTGTTTGGGAATTTTGATAAACTTGAAGGATTCAAACCCCCTAACCTCCCTCACCCGATATGTTTCTCGCTAAGTCCAAGACGACAGTTATGACAGAGTTCTTTATACTTCTCCAAATTTAAATATAGTAAGAGTGCCAGGTTATAACTATCGATTCATTCAACTATTATATGCTTTTTATTATTATTATTAATAAAGTTCTTCACATTTAAAAGAAAAAAAAAAAGAGAAAAGACTTTGCAGGTTTGAGATAGACGTCTGTTGAGTGTTTGCATGTGTTACAAAGAGCAAGGTGACTGTGTGTATGTGCTTCTGTGAGAGAGAGATGGAGAGTAAAAACAAGCACATTAAGCGTTGCACTAACTCTGATATCTTGTACACTAGTAATGCCGCAACTACTTACATAAGAAGCTTCAGGCATCTCAACAGCCGACATGGCTCTAGATTACAGCAACCAGTCCCACTGAAATATACTCCTATCTCATGTCTTTGCTCTGCAAAACCATGTATAATAAAATCATTCTATTTTCCTCTACCAAAACAACCTCAGCCTCAATCGAAGTTTTAGTTTTAGCATATGTGAATAGCAGAGCCATGGTTGTCGCCTTTCCTATTAATGCTATCATGACTGCTTCCAGTATTACTGCAATCGTTTGCCTTGGTATCCTCATGTTTTTTGTGAGAGTGTTTCTTGTGTGGCTTTGAACGGTTACGGAAGATGGCGATGGCAATGTCATTAGGGAGAAGGTCACTAAGGATGAAGCCATGGAAGAGAGTGGTGAGGAGCAATGCAGTAACTACGAGTGATGCAACGAGAGAAAGAATGATCGAGAGGGATTGGGTTAGGGGATGATGGACTTTGTCTGAGTATCGGATGGTAGCTACAGCGGCTCCAGTCATTGGAAATGTATAAGCCCACCATGCCAATGAAAACCTGCCCAACAACAACAAAGAGTGAGCAGGAGGGTCACAGCAAATAATCATAATAGTGGCGCATGATGTAGGAAAAAATAGAGTAGAAAAACCAGAAAATATCAATTATGAGAAAATGCAATTGATTTCTCGTTCTGAAATTACCTGAATCCTCGAAAGAAATTCAGTCTAACAGCCTGCAATTGACCAACGAAATGAACTTATGAGTAATCCTAAATGGAGCAAAACTTTCTTGTGTATCACAGGTGCAAAATGCCTGCTGTGTTACACGCACAGAGGAGGATCAAAATACCTTACGTGTGTGCCACACACACACATACAAATAAAGGTGGAGAGAGAGAGAGAGAGTACCAGTGAACCATAGAGAAAGAGAGCAATGAAGTAAATGATCTTCGAGAAATAGTCGAAATCCCCCTGGATCTTGGCCCATGCCATAGAAGCAACACTAGGGGCAGCAACAAACAAAAAAAACACCGGATGAAGATCCTTGGGCAATGTCTCATTGGTTGGTAGCCTTTGATACAGAGTCACAAAGAGCACTATATAGTGCGCCAACCCAACAGCAAAGAAGAAGGTTGGCCCCTCCTTTAGTCCTAATGAGGCACCCAAAAGAGCACCCACAAAATTTCCCACAATTGAAAGGTGGTTTGAGGGGTTTGCTACCTTAGAAAGCCTACGTTGACTCCCAGACATCCACTGCCCATAGATTTTAAGCTCAAGGATAAAGATGGGTGCCATGAGAACATACCAAATTGAACCATGCAGTTTTCTAGAGAGAGCAGGTGGCATGCTTAGTGCTAGAAACATCAAGGCTATCCATGGGGCAAAAAAGAAGTTTACTCGAATGGGGTGGTAGTACTCTCTCCTAACGGCTTCGATATAGAATAGAAGTTTTAGGATGTAGACTGAGAAGATGACAGTTGTGACTGCTAGAGAGATGCACCAGAGTACTAGGTTGACAGTAAGGTTGATGTGAAGGAAGCTCATGGAGGGAGTTACAGAAAGGGTTTTCCATAGAATGGCTTGGCTGCTGAGGCCGAGGCAGATACCAAAACTGGTGATGGGAAACCGGAGAAGGAAAGGCCATTTCTCATCTTCAGGAAGCAGCAGTTCCTCTGAATCCTGGATATAGAAAGAGGAAAAAATAAAAGATCAGTCAAGCAATGATGTTGAAAAAACCTCTGAGGCAGGGATCAGTATTATTCTGTCGAAAAGAGCCAAGATCATGTGAAAATATTTATGTCGTCCATCTATATATGTAAATAAAAATACACACACACACTCTCTCTCTCTCACTCCCCATGGGACACAGAAGCATACATACATGTGTGTGAGAGAGAGAGATGTATGAAATATGAGAACCTTCATCCATCTACTGCTTTTTGGGTTACATAAGAAACTAGCATTAACAAGAACAGTTGGCACTTCCAATCATGAGAACTCTTGTGAAGAATATTATCAAGACTATAGAGACAACTATTTGAAAAACATGGAAGATGGCTTACCCTGAGCATGTCTAAGTCAGGTCCTTTTAGAGCATCAAAATAACGGTGAACCGGCATGGCCTCAATATTAACATTCTCAGACGAGTCCAAATTGGGTTCTCCTTTAGGCTGGGGCCCACCCTCAAGCGACATCTGCTTGTCAAGTTTCCCATACCATGTCTTGAAAGACTTGAAGCTTGTGTACTTAGGCTTTGTATCTCTCGATTTTGTATTTGGCACCTGTTTGAAAAGTTCAGGAACTGTTCCCTTTGCAATTGCCTCATCATAGACACAAGAAGGAAGAATGGGGTGAGAATAAAATTTCACATTTCTGGGTTGCTCTGTGGTAGCAGCAGCTGTGTTTTTGTTATGGTCATGATCAGGCCTAGGGTTTGAAGTTTTGCCAATCACTTTTTCATTTGAAAGAACTCCTTTTGCTTTCTTCATAAGATAAAGTCCAGAAGGAGAGGCAGGCATGCTCACAGAAACCAAATCTGATCGGTGTGAAGTCATGAATGCATCTGATGGTTTCATTGAGGACGTTGTGGGTCTATGAGAAGTGTTTCCTATTGCTGCTGAATCCTGCAATCCAAATTAGAAACAGGAATAGATGAACAATGTAAGGAAATTATAATAAATAAAATAAAGTGGCTGAAGACATCAGAGCCTCATATAGTTACTTTAACAAACCGACTTCATGATAACGTCTACACCATATGAAACCGAACCCTTCTTCAGGAAAAACAGATTTATATTGTATAATTCTGATTACAGCTTTGATACTGTATTCTACAGAGGAAATGCTTACACAGATACAGATCTGCGCATGCACATCCACACACCACAGCATCAAGACACAAATGCACACTACCATTATCCTATTATTAAGTGAATTTATGTTGAGATCTATTTATAGTTCATAATAATAATTTCCTGTGCCTGACTTAAGTAGAACCTTCACTTGACCAAGTTGTTAATTGTTTTTAGGAAGCGGATAGTATCAACGTGAACACTGCCATGTCACTTAATTTGACCATTTAAAGCAAGAGTTTCATGACCAATCTTATGCAATAAGGACAACAGGAGAAAACATTTCACAAACTCATATTCAACACTCATGAATATGATACCCAGATTGGACTGACACCATTAACATGTTTCTTGACGACGAATGTTCGGAGCTGTTGAATTTAAATTTACAATCAATATGTGTGAATCATTTCATGCCAAACTGGACTTACTTCTGCCAAATTAAGGTCTGATGAAGAATGGGCTCTAGCAGTTCTTCTTGGTTGGAAGGGATGGTCAAAGTCAGCATTTCCATTGTCGAAGCCAGCTACTGAATCTGATGCAATTGTTTTAAAGAGCGCAGGTTGCTCCACATCAGATTCCAGGGTTCCTGAACAGGCATAACCAGCAGGCTGCATGACGGCTCCTAAACAGTATAAAAAATCTTTATTTTAGAAACTTCATATACGATAACCAAAATAAATAATTGTGATGATCGCTGGATAATTGTTTCACATCCAGAACAAGTCTCGACAGTCATACATAAGAACATGAAGTAAAGAAAGAATGTCATAAATAATGTGATAGCCCCACATATCTGACCATTATTATCAAACGATCAACAAATTAACAGACTCTAGGTAAAATACAAGATGGACAACAGTGTCTATTAATCAGTAGATAATGCTACCGAATATAACAGTCATACTATAAGTAATACTGAACATGTGCGATATTCTTATATGGGTAAATAGGCCTTCCATCAACAGAATTGCTTCAAAATTGTGTAACTTATACTAAAAAATTTAAGAAATAAAATAGAAAGGATAATATGTGTTTTGACTATGTTGTGAACGTTGAGAATGACCTATATGGGTTGAATAGTTCTTCCATCAACAAAATTGCTTCAAAATTGTGTAACTTATCCTAACTTATTACAAAATAGAATAGAAAGGATAATATGTATTTTGACTAGGCTGTCAACCCAACAAATGACCATGGTGACTGTCGAGAAAATTTTTTGTAAAGACAACAGACATTCACTTAACAGGGCACTTTCCACAAGCTATTCACAATTCCAAAAGTTATCACCTATTCTAAAATTCCTAATGCTAGCTTCCTGAGTGGACAATAACAAACAAAATTAGCCAAAGCTCATGCGCATCTGGAGCTATCAGCACATCTTACTTTGATTAAAATAATATTGTTGGCATGACATAATTTCGTAACTGAGTTATTAATTTTTGGGTATATATGGTAGCTGAGTTGTTGTTTGCAGCATTTTGTGTATTCTGAATAGCTTGAAGGCAAAGAGCTGTGCGTGTAATATCTCCCAAAACAAGAAGTGATACCAATGTGCAGTCAAGTCACATATTTTCTGTGTATTAGCTAGTATTGTCCTCCTCTTGCATCCTAATCTTTCTAGCGACATCTCTTGGTACATTATAAGAGAGTAGCTACGTTCAAGTCATATTATATCAGACTTAACCTCCTTTTACTATGTCATGAATTCAATCTCTTCATTCTCTTGTTCATTCTGACATCCAAAAAGACTAGAATCTCTATTTCTACAAAAGGTCCATAACTTGCACTCTTGTCACTCCTTTGTCTTCAGGATAATCATAACATTTTCTATACCTATTTAGCGCAAAAAAATAAAATAAAATAAGGAAGAAAACTATATGTTTCCAATCATATGTTTTAGTGATGCATATTCTATTCTCCCACAAATCTCTATATAGATGATGATTTTATCATCTCGGAAATTGTTATTATTTCTTAAAGTTAGTTAAATCAAGAACTCGATATTCAAAGGGGTCGGCTGCTTCTGAGAAGTTGGCCAAACCCTTCTTATCTAACATCACCTGGCTTCAGCTAAAGCTAAAAAAGAAGATAATACATCTATCATTCTAATACTTCAACTTTGCAAGCAAGTCAGTTTAGGTTTATGAGTTGAGGAGTGCTAAGATATGTCAAGTGATGACGAGGGATAAATCAGAAGACTAAGGAGTTGGCCAAGTTCATTTTCATGAACTGGATGATATGACACCAATCTCCAGTAGTGCAGTCTGTCTGATGAAACCAGAGAAACATGAAGAAAATGTGAGAGATGGTAAGAATGGACCAAAGCTCCAAAACCAGTACCTTGTTGATGTCAACTAACTTTTTCCTTTTCTCATTATCCTATCCTGCAGCCAAACATAAATCTGCTATTCTGTACATCTAAAATGGAAAACCAACTACCTATAGAATTATTGACATACCAGCCACACATTGATATGAAACTCTACATGATCTTAGCCAAAAGCAGCAATTCATGCACCATGGAAGGAGTTCAACAATATCCATCTCCATTTTTATTTTTTTTTCCCAACTCTATGAGCTTACAAGTGGCACTCACCACATACTCTCATACTCCTACAATCCTCACCTATCTTACTGATTAATCATTCAGTTACTTTATAGCCCTATGAAAGCCCATAACTACAAAGAATTTCAGTACAAATCAACAGCATGAAGATGGACAGACAGTGGAAAAGAAAAATATGGTTCTTAGGAACATTCACAAAGGAAGCGAAACGACAAATAAATTCAAAAGAAAATAACTATGCCACACTTACTCTGATCAGAGCCCACAATTATCCTCTCCTTAACAATGTATGGAGAAAGAATGCTCATAATGGAGATATGAGAGGACGATGCTTATGTCGAATTCCTGTGTAGCGTGATAAACATGAGCAAAGAGACCATATATATAAATTGAACAGATTAGAATTCAATAAATAAATAAAAAAATACATTGCTGTGGTGCATGAATGTTGTTTTATTTTATACAAAAATATAAGAAACATTAGTTCAAGAAAGTTTACTTTATGATTAAACAAGCATCCTTCATATGTGAGCTTGACAGCTCGGTTCCCACAAGAGTATCAAGGAATATGAAATTCACAGAGTGTTTGAGATGCTGATTGCTACATGGAAGATTAGACAAATATTAAATGGAAAAACAATGTGTCATCCAATTGGAAATTGGCAGCAGAGAGAGAGATGCTTTTCATTTCCATAAATGAATTGCAAAAACATGGCTGAAACTAGTGGAATGTATATCACTAAGAGAAAATATAGTTGAATCAGCTTAGATTTACTGTAATTAATATTTTCCGATTTGCTTTCTCCTGGATTGGAAAAAAAAAAAAATTGACTTTAAACCTGAAAAATCTAATCAACTTTGAAACAAAAAAAAAAAAGAAAAAGAAAAAACAGGAAACCAATTTAACAGAAAATTTATATTAATTTTTTTTTTTTAAGTGCGTCCTATTGAGAAGATTGAGCAGATGTTACGTACCAAAATTTATTTCCATAGAATTTGTAAAAAAAATTAAAAATAAAATATTCTGAGGCGTTGGATCTAGATCAAACAACCAATGACTCACTTGATATAAATTGAATGGCTTGATGAAGGGAAGGGTATATATCTTCTATGTTGTAGGAGAAGTACGAAACATTTTCTATTTAAAAATAATCTAAAAAAAAATAAAATTAAAGTACTTCCTAATCTTTTAGAAAATATGAAAAAAAAAAAATGATATTGTGAGACCTTCCTATATTCATGTGTGTAGGACCCTAATGGATCATCATTAAATTTGTTACATATTTCTAGAAAAGTCAAATCCCACACCTAGGTGATAACCTTTTAGAGATTTATGTCAAATTTAATGGTAATCATTTGAGGTCCTATACACGTGAATGTGAGAGGGTATCATAAGATAATTACTCATATAAAAACATGTCCCATCTAAATCTTTTATTTTTTAAAAACAAATGAATATGTACTACTAGGAACGCACTATTTTGGACCCCCCCTCTCGATGTTAGGTGAGGGTTGGTAATGTACCCATCACATAAAGTCGCACTTCATCTGCATGTTATTCCACTATTTACCTGTAATTGTGATGTGAAATTTGACAATTTCGCTTCCACTCCTTTTTTAAAGCGATCCTTGCTTGCCATACATACAAGGGGTTGATAAATTCACTATTTTGATGGGGATAATTTTTTTTAATTTTTTTGGCTGCTTCTTCAAGGGTTCAATATAGATGGGTCCTGTCCTTGATGAAAGTGATTCAGAAGAGTCTGCAACTTTATATAAATTATAATCCGTTAATTTGATGTCATGGGGAGGGGGACCACACAAAGTTGCGGATGGGTTCTCACTGAACTATAGAAACCCTGATACTAAGGCAAGGCTATTATTGCTTTTCTCAATTTGTCATGCACCACAGCTGTACATCTTGACTATTGCGAAAGGGGCCGGGCTGTGGTGGTAGCACCCCCGATATGTGTAGATGGTATAAGACCAAGGGGCTAAAAATATGCCTTTAAAATTTTTTGTTGTATTAAAATAAAAAGTTTTAAGTAGACAAAACTTTCTTAAAAGATAATTAAGAATAAATTCTAACTCACAAGCTAGATTTATGCACATTTTGAATAATTTAAAATTCGACTCCACTAAGTTCTTTTGCCCAAAATACAAATAAATTCAATATAATATCCAAATACACAAAAGCTTGTTTCTAATACACATTACATGACATATACACAAAAATTCTCATTCTTTCACAATTACATTGTGACTTCTTCTTCAATGTTCATTCTCAACAAATGCCATGATATAATCCATGCACCATATACACATAATAAACATGGGCATGATTAGTCAATGACAACACCAACTTGCATAACACATAAATATAGTAAATGAGTATGCAAACATAAGAGAAGCCAAGGTCGAACCCTTTATGCCCGGGCCTCAATCGGGCCTTTTAAGGACTTAATTTTGTCCTGAGGATTAATGTAAGAGTGATTTAATAATCACAAGGGGATCTTATCTATGTGAAGCTCAAACACCTTTAGAAATGTTGGTGAGTGTGGCCATTAAATGCCTTATGAGTATTTCTAAATGAAATGATATAGTGGAACATGAACTCAGTGGGAGTGTTGTCTCTTGTGAACTATACTAAGCGAACAATGTTCGTTGATACTAGATTGTATTTGACGTGGTAGGTCAGTCTGGTTGAAAAAAACCTATGTTACCTGGGCATAGAAAACTATCTGATAAGTGTTCTAACAAATCATCCCTTGATGAGGTTGGAGTATGCCTGAATGAGTGAGTTGATAGACTATGTGACCTTTGTGTGTGATGGTGGCTTTCAGAGACGGGGGCCAAAGCTCAATCCATAGACCATCACACGACGTGCATAATGATAGCGGTTTTGGGGAAAGCAAACCACGTTTTAGGATGAAGCTTATGCATGTGTGAGAGATACCTCTATGAGTCATAAGAGTTGTGGTCGCATCAGATCTAGGTGACCATGACATGTCTCTAGGGGAGAACCTGAAATCCAAAAAACTAGGATTACGACCCATTGGCTCATCGGCCAGGCTTTGGCGTACCACTAATGAGCCCCTGCATAGACTGTGGGTGATGAGAAATACTTGGTCTGTTGATAAAGCAAGTGTGGATCGTAGTCCACAGTTAAAGGTGGAATATCCCAAATGTTTATTCCTAGACCATATCGATCCTTATCCTATCTAATGAATTTAACTGTGTTTATTTTATGATATTATGATTTTAAAATTATTTTTTGATTTTTTTTAGATCTATTGATATTTTATTTATAAAATTTGGATTTATAAAAACAGAGATATTGATTTTTTTTAATGTTTTAAGTATTCAAATTAATTTTAAAATATTTTATTAATTTTTAGAAAATATTTAAAAAGCACTGGGAGCCCATTGGGCATGTGGGCCCACCATGCCCTAAGTTGGTGGGGCTCACATAGCCCCCTTTTGGGTGGTGCGCCCCACTTTTAGGAGTCTTTCCTGTTTTATAGGGGTTGAATTTGATAAGAGTAATAAGTTTGACTTAGAGGCCAAGTTATTATGAGATTTGGAAATGTAATTTATCTTGAGAAAGATTTGAATGAATATTTTACAAAGCATGATAAGATTTTGTACATATTTTTTGATAAAGCACAACATTATGATTAGTACTATATTATTTCATTTATATTGATGGGATAAGGGTCAAAGGAAAGAGGGGGAAAAATATTCTAGCACCTTCCGTAGCATGTTGATAGCCCATCTATGGAATGGATGGCTCAATATCTCATCTCACAAGTCACCCATGATCAATGGTTCATATTCAATCCACAAGAACAGACAAGCCATAGAAATCCTAAAAACACTCAAAATCCTATTTTTGCACTATAAAAGGAGGACCCCTTGCCCCATAATTCTCTACACCAAAAACTTTCTATCTCTCTCTCTCCTCCTCCTCTCTCTCTCTCTCTCTCTCTCTACGTCGTACGTCGTACGTACGTACGTACGTACGTACGTTACCGTACTACGTTACTTACGTTACTACGTTACTACGTACTTACTAC